GTCTCGGACTACAAGAGCAACGAGAAAGGCACTGGTCGATCGAGGAGAGGAAGCGCTAAAGGTGAGACGGCCTCTCGTCAAGGTACACCCAAAGCTCGCAGAAGCTTCTTTGGAAACAGCGGCAACACTTCGGCTCAAGCTTCTGCAGCGCCTACGCCAGTCTTGCCTCAACTGAGCTCCAACAATGATCGTGCTGCCGCCGGTCAAAAATCAGGCGTCACACCCTCCTCGCCTGCCGCAGCGCTGGGACTTGGGTTTGATGCTTCTCGTGCACCTGATCTTGCTGGAACGCTGCAATTGCCTCAAAATGATGGGTCAAACAGCCCTCCGCCTCAGATTGGCGGCTTACCAACATTGGAAGCGCTTAGGCCTGCAGACGTCATCGCGAGCGCGCCGCAGAGCAATAATGCAGGGCACGCTCCAGCAGAGGTTCCCCGACTGCGAGAGGACGCAAAGCCAGTGGAAGATTTGACTACAGCTGGACTTGCTGATGGCACCACTACAGATTCAACTGCTGCAGCTGCTGCTATAGCTCCAACCGAGCCGCTCCTGACGGCCGAGACCGCATACTCTGGTCACATAGGCGGTGAGGGCGACGAAGCACCGCAATCGAGCGGCGCAGTTGTCAGCGACGAGGTCTTGCCCGCCCAAGCCGCCACTACAGCGGCTTCGCAGGATGGATCGAGCTCTGCTAGCGGATATGAGCCCTCTCTGGGTGCCAGGACCGCCGACACTGGAAAGCACAGTCGTGCAAGCACAAAGCCGACTACGCTGATGAGCTACGAAGGACGTGATGGTGGTGAGTATACTGAAGACGTCTCCACAAAGCGTATGCTCCCATGGGTAAGCTCACACCAGCCTTTGGCACCATTTTCAGGTGCTCCCTCTTTGGCCGGCATTGCTACTCACAGGCATGGCGATGCTGCTCCTTCAGCTCCGGGTGCCGCCTCCGCAACCCCGGTCATCTCGTTCGTTGACCCTTCCATTTCGGTGCCAGGGGCAGACGAGCCTGCATCTTCAGAGCCATTCATCTCGGTCCCAGCACTCTCGCGTCCTCACCCCTCCAACAATCCTGCTCCTGGCGCAATCCCGCCTGACAATGCATCGGTCCTGACGCTCGCTTCCTCCACCGCAGCTGCCTCGATCGGTGCGGGAACAGGGTATGCTGCATCGTCTCGACACGGGCATGCTCATGCTCCGTCTCTAGGCGGTGCAAGATCCATCGGCGGGTCTCTCATGGGAGAACGTCGGAACTCGAGCGATACGTATGCGAGTGTCAAGGCGCTACCTCCTCAAAGCAGAAGGGGCAGCGACTCGTCTATGCGCACGGGCAAGGAAAGCATTCCTGCTTCCTCTACCGGTCTCAACTCTGCCAACGC